ACTCACAGATTAAACCCTGGAACAACCTCTGGACTGATCTAAGTCAGGGCACGGCTAACTCACAGATAGAACCCTGATATAACCTCTGGGCTAATCTAAGTCAGAGTATGGCTAACTCACAGATCAAACCCTGGAACAACCTCTGGGCTCAATCTAAGACAGGGCACAGCTAACTCATAGATGAAAGTGGAATAATGCCATAGTTAAGTTTGGTGTTAGGGGGAAAATTGGAGTACCTGTAGAACATTAAAGGAGAGACCTAACGAAGTCTAAATCACATGTAATACTATCAATTGCAAGTCTAGGAATCGAGCAAAACACCCCACAAATAAATTTACACTACTAGATAAAGTTACAAAAGCCAGTTTTTCTTCTTCTTTGCATCAGATAAGAAGAGCAAGAGCAAACAAGGAGGTGATCCTATCTGGCGGAGCAATCAACTCACCTCAGCTCCTGATGCTGTCTGGGATTGGTGATGGTGATGAACTAAAAAAACATGGGATCCCTGTGGTTTGTCACCTACCAGGAGTGGGACAAAACCTTCAGGATCATCTCGAGATGTACATACAACAGGTACTAACATCTCTACAATTCAAGTTTTTGGCATTAGACGATGCTTTTACTGTATCTGTCCCAGACAACTCTGGGTTCAAATTTGACGCTCAATCTGTGTTCTATTGTGGCTGTCTTCCTCCATATTTAAAGCTTTCTCATTTGCCAATTCTTGATTGATGAAAGACAACTGCATCTCCCTACCCCTCCCCCGCTCCACAGGGAGCCAAGTTCAAGATCAAACCCTGAGACAACCTCTGAACTGATCTAAGTCACGGCACAACTAACTCACAGATCAAACCCTGAAACAACCTCTGGGCTGATCTAAGTCAGGGCACGGCTAACTCACAGATCAAACCCTGAAATAACCTCTGGGCTGATCTAAGTCAGGGCATGGCTATCACACGGATCAAACCCTGAAACAATCTCTGGGCTGATCTAAGTCAGGGCATGGCTATCACATGGATCAAACCCTGAAACAACCTCTGGGCTGATCTAAGTCAGGGCATGGCTAACTCACACTTCAAACCCTGAAACAACCTCTGGGCTGATCTAAGTCAGNCTAACTCACACTTCAAACCCTGAAACAACCTCTGGGCTGATCTAAGTCAGGGCATGGCTAACTCACACTTCAAACCCTGAAACAACCTCTGGGCTAATCTAAGTCAGGGCATGGCTAACTCACAGATAGAACTCACAGATCCGTATCAAGCTTATGGTTTCATGCTACTGATAAAGTTCCATTTTTCACAGGCGTGTAAGAAGCCAGTCACTCTCTATAGTGCTCAGAAATTATGGAATATGATACCCATTGGCATGAAATGGTTTGCAACAAGGACAGGTCTTGGAGCCACAGCACATCTTGAAGTAGGAGGGTTCATTAGGAGCAAGGAGGGTGTTCCTCATCCAAACATACAGTTCCATTTCTTGCCATCTGGAATAATAGACCATGGAAGAACGGCGATTGACCAGCATGCTTATCAGGTATGAGTGGCATGTGCTGCTATGGCACCAGTCTCACTGCTGTGTAGTTTACGCGGATTGCAGGTTCAATTCCCAACTAAGCCACATTATGTTTGATGCCATTTTCTCTCACTTGCCAGGAGGGTTTTTCTCCAGCTTCTCTGCAGGTTTTCCTCCGTTAAAACCAGACCCATTGCTAGGACCTACCAATCTTAGTTATGCCTTTTCTTAAAAAGCTATTAATAATTGGATCTTATTGCTTTTTTTTTTTTGTATGGGGAGGAGGGCGCATTTGTTTGAACCATCGAATCACCCCTGGCTATGGCCCTGAAAACCTATATGGGAGTTGATTGCTGGGTTGTAAATAATGAATTTCAGTGGCAGAGTGTGTGGAGCAAGCCGCATCCATATGGAAGATTCCCTTAAGGGGATTGATGGTAGTAAAATATAAAGATTATTCTTAATAAGCCTGTCATGGACTTGCTATTGAATAAATCTAAAATCATAATCTTCCTCGTATTTCTATTGTATACATAGGTGCATGTTGGAAGCATGCGATCCCAAAGTAAAGGTTCTCTTAAACTAAAATCAGCCAATCCACTGGACCACCCAATCATTGACTTTAACTACATGTCAACCAAGGAGGACTGGGATGAGATGAGGGCTTGTGTGCGACTCACAAGAGAACTTTTTCAGCAGAAGGCATTTGATGAATTCAGAGRGGAAGAGCTCAGCCCAGGTTAGAAATCATTGGCAGTGAATAAGTAAATGAGTGAATATGCTGTATCAGACGAAYGAACGAGCGCATGAATGAACATACGTATGAATGAATGCTGTGTAAAGGGGATTTAGCAAGAATTATTTTGTCATGTTGTGTCGTGAGTAAATGGTAGAAAGGCTAAGCCTGATAATTTTTTTAAACAAAAACTGATTTTTTAAAAATCTTGTTATTCAAGGCAAGAATGTACAGACTGATGAAGAAATAGACGAGTTTGTTCGCAACAAAGCTGATACAGCATACCATCCATCATGCACTTGTAAGATGGGCGAATCTTCAGATAAAATGGCTGTCGTCGATAATGAAGCTCGCGTGTTTGGTATAGAAAGGCTTCGTGTAGTGGACTCCTCTATCATGCCTAGCATTGTCAGCGGTAACCTTAATGCGCCTACTATCATGATTGCAGAGAAAGCAGCTGACCATATTTTAGGTAATCCAATGTTACCCAAGTCAAATGCTCCTGTTTTTAAAACACCAGAAAAAGGTCAAAGATAATCTTGTGGAAATTTTTTTAATTAAATATATTTGTACGATTATTAAAGAGGTCCCAATGTAGAACTGTGTGGAACACCCTATTAATAGTATTGTCTAAACAGTGGCTGCTGCCTACCATCATGATTGCAGAGAAAGCAGCTGACTATATTTTAGGTAATTCAATGTTACCCAGGTCAAATGCTCCTGTTTATAACACACCAGAAAAGAGTCAAAGATAATCTTGTGAAAATTCTTTAAATAAATATATTTGTACGATCATTAAAGAGGTCCCAATGATGAACTGTGTGGAACACCCTATTAATAGTATTGTCTAAACAGAGGCTGCCAGATGAATATGACTGTTAAATTATTTTGAGAAACATGATTGAGCGATGATCAAAAAAGTCCCAAGACTGAACACTGTGGGACACTAGCAAAGACAAAGCCTTGGAGTTAAATTAAAACTAAACTAATTAAAAGGACTAAATCATTAGAGTCCTATACCCCTAAGAAATTTGAATCGAAGAGGAAGTTCTTAGTCAAAGTGAAAAAGTTAAAAAAAATACTATTTGTTTTTGGTTGAAAATAAAATTATTTTGTCTGATTTTGTTGCACTAACAGCCATAGACATTTTCAGCTTTGGCATGATATTTTACATTCCAAACCAAGTGTCATTTGCTTTGGTATTATTTCTTTATTCTCCATTAAGATTTCAGAACACGAAGTTCACTTCAGTAATCATAATATTGGATGAATGACTTCATGGTTTGAAATGGAAAAGCATTATAACAAAGCTCAAAAGATCTATGAAACGTAACTTAATACTAATACTTTTACAACAGACCTTTCCTGGATTTGCTTGAGTGACCAATATATAATAGCTCCAATCACAGTTGGACTTGATGTGTTAACATTTACACTTTTTATCAAGGTTTCTTCAATTAGTTTACATCTTAAACAAGAATATCGATTTTATTATTAAGTCCAACTTCAACTTGGAGCCATTGTTTCATGGCAGCTCAAGGAAATTCAGAAAACTCTTATTCAATCATACTTTTTACATAAAATAATCATATAATCATTCACTTTCTAATATCAAAATAATAATTACCTCTCATAATTTGAAATAAATTGCGCTCTCATACTACTTTAATTACTAAACAATATAATATATAAATATATTAATAATAACTTAAGTTTAGGAATTAAAGAGTGCAAATAATTTACCTGTAAAATAGATAGCTAGCTAACTAATTACTAACCTTCTGTTGCCTAAGTCTAATTAGTTAAAATAGGTGAGCCATGATGGGTAAACTAGTGCACCTGTGCTACTCAAGGGCGCGCATTTTAAAACATTTTTAAACACACTTACAAAAACTTAAACAATATTTTGTTGTACATGCTTTTGCTTTGTATAATTTGACATGTTCGAATTTTTGTATCTATTCATTTGCCTATTGAGTTGTTACTCTAGTAAACGCCTGTGCCCTTGTCATGCCTCACTGAATTCCTATGTCTTGTCTAATTAAAAGCTAACTATCTCCTATTTCATCCTAACTATTTCACGGGTATATTATTTGCACTCTCTATATACATAATAATATATATAATGACATGTAGTTACTTTTGATCTTTCCTAAACTTTAGTTATTATTGCTTCAAAGGCTGAATGAACTTGCCATAATATAAAAATGATTTTAAAATGTACAAAAGGGATTCAACCAAATGAATATCATATCGCTGTAAATAATGAAATGCCAGAAAGAAAATGTATTGAATATGACCAAAAATTCTGATCTATATCTTGTATCTAGTTCAGCAACACTGCCATTTTCCAGATTCAAATATTTCGGTACTTGTGAACAGCCAGCACATAGAACAGTGTCCAAATATAAATTATGATAAGGTTATTGTACTCTATTTCTTGTGATTTCTTTGGCCTTGGGTGGATTCATAGGTCTGCTTTGCAGCATTTAGTAATGTTTCAGTGTAGTTTTCAGGAAAGGTCTCATCTGGTACTAACAAAAAGAAAGGAAACTGTACAATAAATAATAGCCAACCATTACTGTGGTTTTAGATAATCTGCGACCTTGGTGGTTGCGAGCTGCACACTGAATTTTGGTTTTTCGCTGCAGTCAGTCAAAAATAATTACCTTTAATATTTTTGACTGGTGGGAGAAAAAAACCTATTTTGTACAAAATAGCCGCAAAATRGCTGTAATAGACAATACATCTTTGACTGTCATTCAAGACTTACCACTGGTGCTGACTTTAGCATTGAAGTCGTCACTCACAAGAACTAGTTCACCATCTTTGTTGTACCCAAACCCATGTTTGTTGTCCCAAACAAACCCAGCATGCAATCCTGTATATGGTTAAATCATTACGAATAATCAGCTTGCTGTTTACCAAGATGCAAGTGAATGGAATAGACCTAATCCACTGTATTCCCATCCAGACCATGTCATTCCCTAGAGTGTCATTTCTTTGCCTAATGGTTATGTTTCATTAGAATACACAGGAATGTGGATACAACTGAAGCAAAGAATCTTACTCTCAAGAGAATTGACACATGGTCTGAAATGGAACAATATTATGCCTAGGTGAATTAGGTCATTGTGAAGTGTGTAGGGTGCAACGCTGGGGATGGCATAAGTCGATTGATCTACAAATTTTAATGTGAAGGGAAATTAAAGCAAAATGGAACAATGGTTTGGGGGTGCCTTACAATGAGAACAGGAAGCGGGTATCAAAGTGAATGCAAACATACATAAATGGGAAAAGAAATAAAAAAATAAATGGGAATCAAATTTACTTGTTCTAGACTCTAGCTGCCTAACGTATTTGGCTTACTAGCTATTTTAGGTAGCTGTACTCTTTCATTTTTTTTTTTTTTTCTTCCTTTATTATTTCATGTAATTACACGAGAGAGTGCAAGATAAAGGTGTTAAAAATTTTAAATGGTGAGTCTGATAATGATGCCTAGGTCAATCAATTTTCCTTTTGTGTGCATGAGGAGGTAAAAAGGCCCTGCCATTGAAATTTTTCAAACCACTAAAGCGCTGTACATACTAATAGAGTGTTTTCCCTCACGTGACAAGGCAGTCATATTGGTGTACCAAACAACACAAACTTTCTGCACAGTTTTTGCATGAAAATAGAGTTCAATTCCCCAAGGATAGAAAATGCATTGTTTTGGTACACCAACATGGCATGAAAGCTCTCTACAAGTCACCTTCGAATCCAGCCTGAACATTAGTTAGCCTTTTCTGTTTTGCTACTGGCCATGAAATTGACAGGCATCTTGTTATGGCATTTTGGCCACATGTTGAGCAAGCACGATCAAGGATACGACTTGCCCTTACCAGAGACATCATCAGACTGCATTTTAAATACAAACAATTGCATGTGCAATGAAGAATGAAATTATGGGAGGTTTCAGTGTCAAAATGAGACACTAGCATAGATAGATAGATACTTTATTAACGTGTCAAGAAAATAACTAGCTGAGGGAAAACCCTCTACTAATAGGGGACACCTAAGGTATAATAATAAAATAAAAGCATAAGATATACAATGATATTAATTAAGACTAAAAATYAATTCAATAAAGTACTAAGAAATTATTTTATAATTATAAAATATAAAATATAAATATTCTAATGTTTTGATAATAATGTAATAAAATCCTAATCAGCCTTTCAACTATTACATAAAAAACACCCTCTACATCCGTTGTCAATTAAAGATGTAAGGTTTTTTTTATGGATGCAATTTTTAAAATCACCTAAGGATTTGCTTAATCTGTCTTTTTTGTCTAATTTGCTCCAAAGTATGGGACCTAGATATCTAAGGGAATGCTTACCAAACGTGACTGTGTTAAATCTAGGTATAAGAAAATCTGAGTTTCTAAGGCTGTAACAAGAATCATGAGCATCCATCAAATTTATTGTCTTGCTGGTATTGTAAGTCATGAAGAACAAATCCCACCACAAAGTAGCACCATTTAATGTGAGGGGAAGGGGCATATATTGGAAAATATAGCACACTAGTATACATGAGACTAGAGTGACCACAGTAAATCCGTGAAACTTTAGTAATACTAAATAGCACAATTTCATGCAAATTCCATTGTTTTCCATTGTTTAACTAGCACTATTTTGTACTATTTAGTAAATAGTGTTTCACAGATTYACTGTGTCACTCTAGAAGTGGGGTGTTGAATTGGAAGTTTGTGGATATTACAAAAATATGGGGAATGAAAGAGGCTATAGCTCATCATCACCACCCCTCTCCTCTCTCTCCCTTCAAGGTCACTTACAAGTGACACGGCAAATTTGTAGCTATACTACTGTAGCCATACTGGGCCCAGTTGTTCAAAGCTCGATTAGTGCTAATCCTGGGTTAACTCTTAATAAGACCTATAGAGATAATCCAGCTTTGAACAACTGGGCCCTGTATCTTATATCTTGTTTAAGTTTGGTTCTGTTTGAGCTGTGCAACTGGTGTACTTGATAGCAAACTCCTTTTTCCAATAAATCAAATATCTTATGATGTCAGGGTAGCATGAGTGGAGTCAATTAAGGCTTATTTTTGTTTCTGTTCATTGCTGTATAATTTGGACCATTCATGTTACTGCGATTCCAAGTCACATGTGACCAATTAACTTTATAAAATAACTGTTATGAATGTCGCGTTCTGATTGGTTTGGAGTGCGTACTTTATGAGAGCACATTGCACACGCACGCACTTCCCGTTGCATCATTCCTATCTATTATTGTACAGTTGTAATTTGTATTTTATAAAAGAAATAAAAAACTTGCTTGCTGTGCTGCATGCAGTCATAAAGCACCTGGGGATTGGCAGAACACTCAAGAAGTGTCGAGAAGCACTCTGCTACGTGTCAAACTTCTCCTAACACTTCTCTCGTGTTCTGCCAACCCCCGCGTGCTTTATGACAGCACACAGCACGCGCGTGCGTTTTCTATTTCTTCAAGACCAATAGGCCCTTTGCAGCTAGTGGTCACGTGCTTGGATACCGCTTAGCAACACAAAACTGGAGAGCAAGCCTTCCAGTAAACAAAAGTTGTAATAGGTCAAGCACGCGTGGTTTTATACGATAGTTTCATCGTTCAAAACGCTTAATCCTTTTGCCCTATCTACAAACAC